GCTATGGGCAGAGATGCGATTTGCAGCTTTGGGGTTTGAAGCCGGCGGGGTGTGCGCCTCGGCTAGCTGCAGCCGACGTCCCCTCGGCCCCCAACCACCATCCGACCGCCTCACAACAGCCACCCGACCGCCACCTCACCGCCACCCAATCGCCCCCCCCCCCCTCGCCCAGGCTACTTTGCCCTGCCGTCAGGCCAACTCGACAGCGACGGCGCATGGAGCCGCTTCGTCCGCGCGGGGCGCGTTCACCTGCGCTGCGAGGTGCTTGAGTGCGAGTGACGCGCGGTTCCCTGCGCCGCGCCGCCGCCAGACGCGGCGGCGAGGGGGGGGGCCGCTGGCTTGCGCAGCGAGGCTGGTCGGGGGCGTGTGGGGGAGGGAGCCCGGGCTCGGCGCAAGCTGATGTGGTGTACTTTTTGCAGGGCGCAGGTACAGCGAGGGGAATGGCGAGGACGAGGGTGGAACACCACTACTTGAACGACGTTCGCGGGTGTGGGGCTTCGTTGATACTTGGGCGCTTCCGCCACGCCGTCCCGGTCACTGCTATTTCAGACCGCCAGCGCCCGACCCTGGGTGTTGCCTAGGGCGGTCTTGTGCGACAAGGGGCCTCTGCATTGATGCGTCCTCGGATTAATTGATCGCCAACAAGGGACCAAAACTAGGGTCGATTTGCGTCCGAAGTCTTGCAGTCATTTGTAGTAGTAGGGCTTTGTGCCATGCATCTGTAACAAGGGCCCATGGAATTTTGCGAGACTCTACCCGGTGCGGCACACCACTGTGACGCGGGGTTGTTGGTCGCGCGGCGGGCGCCAGCGCATGTGCGCCGCGCCTCTGCGCATGTGCGCCGAGTGGCAGCACTGAGGGTCGGACAGGGTGACGGCTTAGTCAACATGACCATGCCGCCGGCGAGGCAGTGCTCGTCGCATCGTGCAGCCATGACGTATACTTGCATCGCCTGCAGTCCCAGGTGGCAGTTGAATCACAGACACAGGACCGTCGGTCCAGGTCGCCGTGGAAAGGTCAGAAACGTCTTGATATCTTACGGGGGCCTTGCAAGGCAGACCTGTTACACATCAGATTTCTGAAGATTCTTGCATCGCCCATTCATCAGGCACTCGAGGCACAGCCGAGATCGTCCACGATGTCGCCAACGGGCACAGGGGACGGGACCGTGCTGCAGCCCTTGCCAGAGCTACCTGCGTCCCAAACAGGGACATCCACCGCGACCGCCAGCCACTATAAGGCGGAGGTGAAAGGGGTTTGAAAGGCCGCGCGAGGATCCCGCGCGACTTACATGCACGACATGAAGGGGGTGCTCATGCGACGCTCGAAGCGGCCCACAACACGCTGGCTGCCTCCGCGGCGCGCCCGACGCCGGCGGTGCCCTGTGCTCTGCTGATGCAAGCACGTGCAAGACCGTACAGCGCCTAGGAGGAAGCCGGCCGCCCAGCCAGCCTGCCCCGCCGCGGCCGGGGCAAACACAACAGCGACACCAGCGGAGTATGCGGATGCTCAAGCAGCGACGGCGGCGGTCAACCTCGCCGCTCATGCCCTTTCACTCTCCACTTCCCTGAAATGTTCCTCACGCCTGCCCCTGCTCGCCCCTGCCCATCCGCCCTTTCGGCGGCAGGTGTCCAATGTTGCCGGGTACATGTGAGCTCGCAGTGCCCACCTCAAGGCCCGCTTCGCACCGACGCGCACGCGGGGCGCGAGCAGCCGCACCGGCGCCGGTGCAGCACCGCCCGGCGGCCTTGCCGCCAGCCCGCAGCGCGGCCCCTGACCGCGGCCCCGCCCGATGCGCCGCGCATGGTCCGCGCCCGCCGCGCCACAGGTGCCACATCCACCTGGAATGCGAGTTTCCGGTGGCCCCAGACGTTCTGTTTCAGATCTTCACGCACCCAGGCGAGCGCGCGGCGCGCGTGCGTGCTCGCGCGCCCCAAGCTGCAGCCCCTGCATGCATTGGGCGTAGGATCCCTCTCTCCTCTCCCCGAATCTTTTCTTGCAAGCACCGGCGCAACCCAGAGGCTGATGATCTCCTCTCCCAACGCGGGTACACACACATGCACACACACGCACACACACAAGTTCACACAAACACGCACACTCACACGCACACACACATACACACATTCACACGCGCACACACACACACACACACACACACACACACACACACACACACACTGCGCAGACAACTCTGTGGCGTTCAGGGACATCAAGCGCGTCGGGTTCAGGAAGGTGCTGCAGTCCCACCCCGGCTTCAAGCTGGTGGAGGTCGAGCAGGTGCGCGGCAGCTGCTTCGAAGACGTCGCCCCCCCCCCCCCCC